CCCGCAGCCAGGGTACCCTGTGGGGGGATGGAAGGGGCTCTGCCTGCACCCCACAGCCCAGCAAAGCTGGGAAGGGGATGAAGGGATGGGAGAGGAGGACATGGATGGGGATGAAAAAGGGACAGGGATGGGAATGATGATGGAGGTGGGCAGGAATGGGATGAGCTGGGAATAGGGATTGGATGGAATGGGATGGGTATGGGATGAGTTGGAAATGGGGTAGGAATGGGATAGGTTTGGGACCGGGGATGGTGATGAGGACAAGGTTGGGGCTAAGAGGGGACACACCAAGTGAGAACTGGCAGGAGGGGTTGGACCTCCTGAAGGGCTCAGGGTGTGCTGGGGCTACAGCAGGGGGGACTGGGGGTGCTGGGGGAAGCCGGGGGGTTGCTAGGGCTGTCCCAGACCCACTCACATCCGCAGGCTCCCCAGGATGTCATCCCGGCGCTGCTGGGCCAGGCAGGTAGCGATGGCTCGGTACTGCTGCTGGCTGATGGCCCAGAGGCGCACGGGGCTCAGCGCTGCAGGGGGGCAGGGGGAGTCAGGGGGAGTCAGGAGGGTGAAGGGGACTAGGGGGGGCTGAGAGGGCTGCCCTTACCCTGCACGGTGGCAGTGCGCCGGCAGTGGTACAGGATGGCCAGTTCCCCAAATACATCCCCTGGGCCCAGTGTGCGGAGCTGCTGGCCCCGCTGGGTGACACTGACCTGCCCCTCTGGGAACACGGACCCACACGTGTGTACAAGCGTGTACATGAACACACGTGGGGCTGTCCCACGGCAGGCAGCCTGTGCACGTGGCACACGTACAGCCTGTGCAGCACACGTGGCACACGTGTGTGCAGCAGTCTGACACGTGGCACATGCACACACAATATGTGTCCCCCCGGTGCACACCACATGTGGGCACAGACACACATGTGCCTGCCCACACATGACCCCACGCATGACCCTGCGTGCTGCCCTCACCTGCCACGATGAACATGGTGTTGCCCTCGTCACCCTCAGCCAGGATGGTGTCCCCAGGGCTGTGCTGGATGAGGGTGACACCGCGGGCCAGCGCCTCAGGGCAGCCCTGGCCCAGGCGCCGAAGGAAGTTGCTGCGTGCCACTGCCTCTGTGATCAGGCCCAGGTCCCTGAGGGGAAACATGGGGACACGGGGACATGGGCAGGGCAGCACTGGCCCCCCTGGCCCAGCCCCCCAGCACCCCCTGGTTACCTGCCGGACAGGAGGCTATCAGGCGCGCCCAGGGTGGCCTCACTGGACAGGGGTTCAGGGATGATGGCAGGGCGCCCCCGACCAGGGGGGAGGTCGGAGAGGGGCTCGGGAGGGTCCCCCTCCTCCCTGCCCTGCAGGAAGCTCTGCTCCTCCCACAGCTGCAGCTCCACCTCCATCCCTGGGGGGCAGACAGGGGGGCACAGGGGTGCATTGCATCACCACAACATGGCACCACCCCAGGGACACTCCTGGGTATGGCGGGAGGACAGGGGGGTGTAGCCCCACATGGCACAGCCGGGACCGGTGCTGCACAGGGGGGCAGAGGGGGAACAGGGCAGAGGGGACACCCAGAACCCTGTGGTCTCCCCATACCCCAACTCTTCATCCCCAACAGCTCTAGGGACGTGCAGGCAGGGCTCTGGTGCAGGCAGAAGGGTCCCGGTGGGTCAGGGGGCTCAGCCCCAGCTGTGCCCTTCAGTGAGGTGGGTGGGGGCTCCCATGAGTACCATGCCAGGGCGCTCCTGGCCTGTGCAAAGGTTCTGCCGTAGCACAAGGGAGCACGGGAGGGGGCTGAGGTACAGCCCACAGCGACAATGCAGAGACCCGACTGCCCCCCTGCGCCCAGCCCCACGGCTGTGTTGGTACCAGGGGCTCACCTCACCTGCTGCGTGTCCCCCATCTGGCCACCCACCTGTGCCACTGCTCCCACACGGTCCTCTGGCACCCACGAGCCACCGTGGTCTGGCCCGGTGACACATTAACCAGCACAGCGGGACCAACGCCCAGCACGTGCCACCACACCCCCAGGTGTGCCAACACCTGCACTCACCCTGCACCTGAGCTGCACCCGCACAATGCTGTGTGTCCCCCATACACACGGGGGGTCCCAGGCGACTGGAGGCTTGCCAGTGTGATGCCCATCTACAGGAAGGGCCTGAAGAAGGATCCTGGGAACTACAGACCTGTCAGCCCGACCTCAGTACCAGGGAAAATCATGGAGAGATTCCTCTTGAGCAAGGTCACGTGACATGTGCAGGATAGCCATGGGATCAGGCCCAGCCAGGAAGAGTTCAGGAAGGGCAGGTCCTGCCTGACCAACCTAATCTCCTTCTATGACCAGGTGACCTTCCTGGTGGATAAGGGAAGACCTGTGACGTTGCCTACTTAGACTTCAGGTAAAACCTTTGACACCGTCTCCCACAGCATTTTCCTGGAGAAGCTGGTGGCACATGTCATGGGCAGGTGCATTCTGCAATGGGCAAAAAGCTGGCTGGATGGCTGACCCCAGAGAGTTGCAGTGGATGGGGTTAGATCCAGTTGGCAGCCAGTCACCAGTCGTGTCCCCCAGGGCTGTTTTGGGACCAGTCTTGTTCAACATTTGTATCAGTGATCTGGATGAGGGGATTGAGTGCACCCTCAGCAAATGCACAGATGACACCAAGTTGGGTGGGAGTGTTGCTCTGCTTCAGGGTAGGAAGGCTCTGCAGAGGGACCTGGACAGGCTGGATTGATGGGCCAAGGCAAATTGTATGAGGTTCAACAAGGCCAAGGGCCGGGTCCTGCATTTCAGTCACAACAACCCCAGGCAGCTCTGCAGGCTTGGGGAGGAGTGGCTGGAGGGCTGCCCGGTGGAAAAGGACCTGTGCTGGTTGGCAGCCTGATGAACACGAGCTGGCAGCGTGCCCAGGTGGCCAAGAAGACCAACAGCATCCGGGCTTGTGTCAGGAATAGTGCAGCCAGCAGGAGTAGGGAAGTGATCGTGCCCCTGTACTTGGCACTGGCAGGTTCTGGGCCCCTCACTGTAAGAAGGACACTGAGGCACTGGAGCGTGTCCCGAGGTGCAACCGAGCTGGGGAAGGGTCTGCAGAACAAGCCCTGTGAGGAGAGGCTGAGGGAACTGGGGCTGTTTGGAGGAGGCTGAGGGGAGACACCTCACTGCAGTCTGCAGCCACCTGACAGGAGGCTGTAGGGAGGTGGGCGATGGCCTCTTCTCCCAGGTGGATAAACAACAGGACCAGAGGAAACGGTCTGAGCTTGGGCCCGGGCAGGTTTAGACTGGATATTGGGAATAATTTCTGTACTGGAAGAGTGGTCAGTTGCTGGAATGAGCAGCCCAGGGAGGTGGTGGAGTCACCATCCCTGCAGGTATTTAAGAACTAGATGAGGCCCTTCAGTTCATGCTTTAGTGGCCTTTTTTCTTTTTCTTCTTCTTCTTTTTTTTTTTGGGGGGGGAACAGTTAACAGTTGGACATGGTGATTCAAGAGGTCTTTTCCAACCTTGAAAATTCTGGGATTCTGTGATCTTTAAGGTCCCTTTCTACCCAATCCAGCCTGGGATTCATTCTGTGATTCATACCCCACATCTTTCCCCCTGGAAACCTGACATTTGCATCCATATGTCCAAACAAGAAGGACTGGAGCAGGGACAATGGGGAGCCCAGAGAACCAGGGGCAGATGGTCTCCATTATGTGAGGGGAGATGATATCTCAGCCCAGCTGCAAAGAATCAGGTCCTTGTTTTCTCGGCCACCGGGAGTTATTTCTCCTCCTTAGCTTTTCCTTTCTCATTTGGCTGGTTGAGGGAGCTGGGCAGGGGGGCAGGTCGAGGGGTTTGGAAGGAATTTGTACAGCCAAAACAAATGCACACGCACAGGATGAGAAATAAATGCTTTGGCTGTTTATGTGGTACGTTGGAGAGGGAAAGGGCTGGAGAGCTGCTCTGAGATGGACAGGGCCAGGCCACTGCACAGACAGAGAAAATGGCTGGGATGCTCCTGTGTTGCTTTGGAGCTGGAGCCTGGGGAGGACCTGATCCTGGACAAACTTCTCTTTAATATCGTTAGCAGTGATCTGGACAAGGGGATTGAGAACACCCTCAGCCAGCTTGCATATGGCACCAAGATGGGTGGGAGGGATCCAGAGGGATGTGGACAGGCTGGATCAATGAGTTGAGGTTCTGCAGAGGGACCTGGACAGGTTGGATCCATGGGTTGAGCCTCTGGAGAGAGACAAGGCCAGTTGTACAAGGTTCAACAAGACCAAGTGCTGGGTCCTGCACTTGTGTCACACCAACCCCAGGCAAAGCTCCAGGCCTGGGGAAGAGCAGCTGGAAAGTGCCTGGTGGAAA